TTTTCTAACTGGAAGAACTTGGGATCAGGATCAAGAATATACGATTGGAAAGGACGTGGCGGGACTGGGTTGTCCACAGTGCACCGCGGCTTCTCCAGGGACATTTGTAGTGACGGCCTTGCCCTGTTACTCCCATAGCCTCTGAACAGCATGGCGGCCTCTGCGGGGAAGAACCTGGATCAGGTAAATGCCACTTGTTTCCGTCAAACCTTCCTCGCTCCCCCCCTCCCCCACCCCGAGTGATAGGTCACGGTTTTGGGCTCTTGATTGAGCCACTATACTCCAGTCTTTGTGTTCAGGTTACATGGTGAGGTAGTGCGGGCGTCTCTGCACTCAAATGCTCTACCACTGACCTACACCCAATTTTTTTTTTTTTGAGGTTCTTGGGGTTTGAACTCAGGGCTTCTCGCTTTCAAGGCAGGGTCTCTACCACTTGAGTCAGGCCTTCAACCCGCGGCGTCCAGATTTCTTAAGCTGCTAAATGAGGTTGGGGAGGCTCCTCCACCCCTAATGCCACTCCCCATGATGGGAGCACTGATCCCGGTGTTGTTCTTCAGCAGAAGATGGACATCATCTAAACTCGGAGTCTGGCATCCAAACTCAGCGGAGTCTCATAATGCTGAGGAAAGGGAGGTGAATTGAGGGTCAAGCTAGGACCCCCGGATGTGGGTGATGGGTACCGTAAACATGGTGTGCAGATGTGAACACTGAAGCGTGTGGGGACAGGACGGTTTGCTAAGGTGGTGGTCATGGTGCCATGGGTGATGCACACGTGTAGATGCTGATGTCTGGGTATAACTGAGCAAGGTGATGCTGAAGCCAACATTTTTTGCTTTTTTGCTGGTCTTTAGACTCACCAATTTTGTGGTGAGCCTTGGTGTATCTGTTTTTGTTTTTGTTTTTTTTCAAGAGGTGGATATATTTGTTTAGGGAAAGTTGGTCATGAGCTACTTTGAATGGGTCTGAAGAAGACCACTCAGGCTAGTTGCAGAATGAGAATTATTGGAGGGAGAAAGTCTGTGACTAGAGAGCAGACATGAACAGTGCCATAAGTGGAATAGGGCCAAGGATGTTTCAGATCCATAGGTGGTTCTTGGAGGCTGAGGTTCAAGTTAGAACAGTGTCAGGCAGCAAGGCATCTAAACCAGGTTGGCAGGCTGCTTGTGGCAGTGTGCTGTGGTCGTTTTAGATCATATTTCTATTTTCTTTGTAGTCTGGATGCCTGATGTTAAGTTACATGCAAGAAGATGTGGGATGGTCCTAGGAAGTGGGCAGTGGGTGAAAGTACCTACAGATTTGGGGTGTTGTGAGAGAGTGATACAAGGACTTACAAAAATGTGGAGGAGTCCTGTGGAATGATGCCACTAGGGTCCTGGTATTCAGTATACTAATGAAGGGTGAGGTACCATTGGACTCTATTGCAGATGTGGTCTGTGTTCCCCAGGATTGGCTTTGTGAGATACCTCTGAGTTTAGATACCAGGTTTTGACTTTAGATGTCTGTTCATCTCCTTGCTGGTGTGCATAAACACAGAGATTAGTGCTACCATTAGCTGACAGCAAGCACAGGAGGCATTCGAGTCTGTTATCCCCTGTGAGGTAGAGAGTTTGGGATGAGGGAGAGCAGCAGATGGATGAGTGAGGCAGTGAACTTTCAATCTTGGTACAGAAGGTGAACATAGATTAAACTCTCTACTAGAGGCAGTACTGCCTTTCCACAACCAGAATGTTGGTCTGCTAACTTCTCCCTGATCCATAACTATGAGATAGTGGTTACTCATGAGCAGGCCTGAACTCTTTTAACTTTCTACACAGTCTTCATGAAAACCTTGTCTGCTGATGGAGAAATCTCAGTTGGAGAGTGTAGCTGCCTGTATGATTTGGTTCCTGTAGGCCTATTGTAGCCTTCAAACTAGCCAAATGTGACACCCTCAGGACCAGTCTAAAGGGCAGTATCTCCACCTGGCCTTGGGTCATTCCTCCTGTTCCTAATCAACCCTATGAAGTACCACAGTGTCACTACAGCTCTTCAGTCAACAGTACATGAAGATGAGTATATAGTGTTCATTTGCTTTCCACATAGGAGGCACACAGACTGTGTGAGTGAACCTATGTATGGTATGTCGTTTTGAATCAGTGGCATTTAGGAGCAGCTGAAATCATGTTTTCTGTTTCCTGGCATATCTGATCTAGCTTAGCATGAATGATGAATGTCTAAACTTTTGTGTGAGCAACTGTAGATGAAACATCCCAGAAACCTGCTGTAGCACCTGAAGGTCACAATATGATTTCCCCTGACCCTTGATTCCTGTCGACATATACTCAGACACTCAGACAAGGACACTGCAGGTCAGATTTCTGCCCATAAGGTGTGGGCCCCTGGTGATGTGTTTGGACAGCTTGTTCTAGGTTAGCCCTTTGATGGCACTCTACTTTTACATATTTGAGCAGTTTGGGGTCAGTCTGTTAAACAGATTTTTGTACCTACTTTGTCCACCAAGAAGTGACATAGGACATGTTCCCACCAGAGAGGCTGTACAACACAGCAGTGATAGAGTGCCCTAGTCTACCTGTAGAGTCTTTTGCCAGCTACCATGCTGAGGGATCTGGCTTGGGATTTGGTCACATACTCAAGAACCTACAATATCATTGCACCTGACTGTAGGGTCTGGTGAGGTACCTGCCAATGTCACCATATTTTAAGTCCTGTGTTGCTAATGGTGAAGACCTTGTGCATGAGGACATCAATTTAAACCCAAGTTTTTTTGAAGTGCCGGAGAGTGTTCCTAGTAGAGGGACCACTGTGTTTAAGTCCTGTTGAGGGTGTTGGGAACTTGCTGGTGAGTTGAGGCATTTTACCTTTGTTCTCAGTATGCCAGGAGCAATGGTGTGTTGTGAACAGAAGAGGTACCTTGTCTCTATTAGGATTTTCAAAGTTTTTCAAAAGCTGCTTCCATGTAAAAGAAGGCAGATGATGACACTGAGGTACAGGGAAGTTGACTCCTGTGCAATGTCCTAATGCATTACAGAGTCAGTACTTAGGACTGAGGCTCAGATAATTCTATGATCCAGGCCTCCTGGCTCCAGGGTGGAATGAGTCTATGGTGGTCCTTTTGGTTATCTCCCTGTCATGCATCAAAGACTACCTTGTCTGTACAAAAACTTGTGCCCCTAAACATGTGTTTGACACTGAGTGGAGGATGTTCTAGTTCTGCACTACCCTGACCTCACATACTGTCTCTGGATTATGTCTGGGACTCGTCTGCCACTCTTCAGCCCTTGAGCCTAGCTATTCTGAAAAACCCTGAATCCAAAGTTGCAATTCCAGTCACACTGTGTAAGGCACAGTGGCTGGCATGCTTGCAACTAGTGGAATGAGGTGTGAAAGGTTATCGCAGGCACAGATGTCAGAATGTGCAAATGCAGTGAGGAGGATGAACTGTTTCCTTGACCACAGGGTATTTTTCACATGGGAGCTGCACATGTGTGTGGCACAATGATTCCATAGAAAACTAAGATTCTCCTATGGAGATGATGGGAGCAAGGCCACTCTGTAGGGAAAGGTTTGTGTACCTGTCCTAAACTTCAGGTGGGATGCTGGAAAAATCCTGATCGTTTTCTTAGGTAGATATGGAAAGATGATCTCAGAAATTTTCAGTCCAATTGAGGAATACCTGGTGGAGTACCTGACATGGGCTGTTTTCCTATCAGATGAGGAAATTATCTTGTGTCTTTAGTGTCCTGTCTGCAAGTCACTGTGCCCTCTGCACTGTTCTCCAAGAGTAACCCACACCTAATGTGATTTCAGGTGTGAACATAACCCTAACTATTGCCCAAATGTAGTTTGAGTTTGTTTTCCTTGATAAGACTCAGTCTATCACACAGCATATTCTGATCATCAACTGGCAAGTTTTTACTGAATACCATACTGTGGAGAGTGTGAGAGTTTTCATGGCCTTTCCTGAATCATAGTACCAAGAAGTCACATTGCCTGAAGGCTTTCTGCCACTCCTCCCTGTCCTCTAGTTCAACTTCATGTCAGATTATTAGTGATGTTTACAGGATTCTAATGGGTCTTTAGAGTCCCAGTTGTGTGAAACAACCCTTTCTGCAAATTAAGACCAGATTTGCTTGAATTTGGAGGTCCTATGTGTGGTCCAAGAGGGAACCTCCAAGAGGACTGTTAGGAAGGAGAAAGTTGGCCATGAAGGATGGGGGTAGGGAAGCAGTGTTAGATTACCTTAGAAGGATGGTGATATCTTGGAGCAGAAGGCAGGGAACTGTGGGCAAGAATACACCTAGAGGCTTATAATTGAGTCCATAAAACGGTCTCCAGGTTTGGCTGAGTGGCCAGGTTCCCAGCTAGGGAGGTAAACATGAGCTTCGTGCAGGGTGGTCTGTCCTGACTTGGGCTTAAGAGGTGAGTCCCCAGCTCACTGAGGATTCAGTCCCTTCTGCAGACCCAGGCCAGTTGGGACCTCCAGGAGCTACAGCCCTAGGCACCCACCAGCCTGCTTCCAGCAGGAGTCCCTGGCAGCCCTCCTGTATACACAGTGGGATGCAAGGTCGTAAAACCTTGTAGTCTTCAAGAAATAACATAAGAAGGGATTTAAAAGAGGTGTCAGTAACACTGACTTGAAGCCTTTGGTGAAAAGTATGGATACTATTTCCCTGTGTCCCATCATAGATAGGTTCAAGGTGATGCTGTCCCACATCGCCCCCTAGTATTTGCCATGGAACTGTTAGCACTATGTTACTCAGAATGCCAGGCTCACAACTGCAAGAGGCAAATCCAAATCCCGTTCCCAGATAAAAAAGGCAGGAACGCAGATGATAACATTGAAGCACAGGGAAGTTGATTCGTGTGCAGTGTCTCAAAGCAGGCAAGATTCACCACTGAGGCTTAGATAACTTCATGATCCAGGCCTCCTGGCTCCTGAGTGGTTTGAGCCTGTGGAGGCCCTATAGGTCATCTGCCTGTCATTCAACATAGTCGTTCTTGTCTTCACAGAGCTGTGGCCCTTGAACATGTGGTTGGCACTGAGTGGAGGGTGTTCTAGACCCTCAGAAGCTGACTCTGGATTGTGTCTGGGACTCTTCTGCCACTCTTCAGCCCTTGACCTAGAGAGTATAAGAAACCCTCAGTCCAAGGTTGTAATTCCAGGCACATTATGTAAGGTACAGTGGCTTCCATTGCTTGCAACTCATGGAATGAGGGTTGAAAGGTTATCCCAGGCATAGATATCAGAATGGGCAAATGCAGGAATATGAGAGTGAACTGTGTCCTGGCCCACAGGGTATTTTTGGTATTGGAAGTGAAACCTGGTTGTAGCTAATGGGCCTGGAATGACTCAATAGAAAACATTTGTTGAAGAGATGATGGTAGCATTGGGAGTTTTGGAAAGAGAGGCAGACCCAAATCTTAGCAGGTTCCCTGTGACTAAAACAAGGACAAGACTGTAGGGTGTGAGTGAGGTAATAGGAAGGTTCAGAGTGAGGCTGCTGTAAAGGTCCAGTTAATGTTTGATGGTACTTTGAGAAGTGTGGTTGGTGAAGAATTGGGAACTATGTGTGTATCCCAAATCACTTGGCTAATTTGGACTTTGTGGTGTCATGCACAGAATTACAAAGATTTCATTTAAAAGTATTAATTGGATTTATTTCAGGTACATGTGTCCAGCAATACCTCATGGATGGCTTGTGTTTAGTGGGACTTCTCAGGTCCCAGAACTTTCACATATTTTATCACTTTTGGAGTCAGTCTGCAAAATGGAGTAAGTGTTCCAGTGTACTGGAGTAAAGAAGTTGGTTTTATATACAGAGAATACCTCAAGAAACCACAGACCAAACACAAAAAAGCAGAATGGCCATCCCAAAGATTCTCATAAGAAAAAAGAGGGCCAGAATAGGAAATAGTTGATTACTAAACATGTCATTTTAGGATACTAGTTCTCTTTTTGTTTTGATACTGGGATTTGAACTGCCTCTATCATTTGAATCACACTTCCAGCTCAGGTTACAGCTTTATGTAGTGATTTACTTCATTATTATGTGGACAGAATGTGCCCTTTTTAGAAAATTAGGATAACACCAGATTTTCTCATTTTGAGGTTAAAGAAAAAGATGGATGTCAAATATGAATCCAAGTTTTCCGAAGTTTTAGCAGTTGAGTAGAGAAAGTTGGGTATAGGAAAAATTTTAGTGGAGATATGAAGATAATTGGAGTTTTGCCATTTAAGAGTGTGAATGTTTCAAGGAAGTATTAATAGAAACATGAAAAGCGCAGGTGTCCACACAGGTGTGAAACTCAGGAGAAAATTCCTGATGGAGGTATGCCAAAGGTGGCCATCAAAGTTTGCCCTAAGGTGTATCTGTGCTTCTGTGGATCCCAATAAGAACAGGAATCCTAATTATGAGTTAATTGTATGCTTACAAGCCTTGAATGGTTAGTCTGATCGTGGCTTCAAGTACTTGACCTGGGTGAAATAGAGCTCATCACTGAAATAGATACGTGAGACAAGAGGCCTTGGGCACGTTCTAGTAGTCAGTATGGTCTGGCTGGTTACCAGTACTTTCAAAGGATGTGGTCCATGAGGTGAAATCACAGACCTACAAGAACAGCTGCAACTTAGCACTGTAACCAGGTAGTGTTTTCATTGCTCAGGTACAAGCTTGGTAGAATTTTGTTATAACCCTTGACTTGTCTGAAAAGTTTCATGTTCCCTTTAAGCATAGGGGTCCAAGTTGTGAAGTTAGGGGTCCAGGAGAGCCAGTTGCCTATGATGTAAGGCGGTTGGGACAGGTTTGGAATGGAGGATAGCAGGTGAGGATGTGTGACTGGTGAGAGACATCAAGTACATCAGTAGTGGTGAGGGGTATGGGGGTCTGGCAATCAAAGACAGTTATTAGTGGCAAAGATTGATACAAGGAGCATAGACAAGGAAGCCCTCAGAGTAGTGTGGGGGTTGCCTCTGTCACTGGGCAAAACTGTGCTATTTGTGCAAAACACACTGAGGATACCATATGGTGAGGTGAATAGGGGAAGGCAGAAAAGTATCTCTGTTATGGTCATAGATCGTGGAAATAGTTGTGGGAGTGTGTGTGTGTGTGTGTGTGTGTGTGTGTGTGTGAGAAAAGTGTGGTTCGACAAGTGATGTCTACATGGATGGAGAATGGGAAATACTGGTCCTGTGGACTTGCTCTTCATGGCATGAAACTGAAAGGTGAGCCTAAATTTGGTTATCTCTGAGCAGATAACTTGTAAATTATCTGACATGAGTCCATGTAGTTCTGCCTGCCAGTCTCAGATGCTGAACAGTGTGTCCCTGCTCACCTGCATTAGTGCTGTTGGACAAAACACTGATCAGATGTAAAGAGTAGAGACTGAATGTCAGGAGCTTGGTGCCTGATATTGACTCTGAGGTGTTGAGGGTGGCACACAGGGTAAAAAGAGGATGGATGTAGGGGAAAGGGTTGGCTCAACCTGAAATGACTCCTAGGATAGAAACTGATCATAGATGTTCTGTTCTAACCATGCCAGGGCTCTGCAACCTTTGAGGATGTGAGCATTTCCTTTTCCCAGGAGGAATGGGAGTTCCTTAGTGCAGCTCAGTGGCACCTGTACATCCATGTGATGCTGGAGAACTTTGCACTTATAACCTCCATAGGTAAGTTGCCACACTGTGGTCTTTCCTCATCTTCTTTTTCCCAAAACCAACTTTGCCTCTTCACTGCTAGCTGCTGGTCTTGGTTAACATTCCACTATTTTCATGGGTATGTGGTGCACTTCTCTGAGCTGCTCTAACAACTGTTGTTGTAATGAGTACAAGTACAGATTTGGGAGGAAGATGTCTGTCACTCAGCTTCATAGGTGTCGTCTTGGTCACCTGCTCCCTGACTGGATGACTCTTGGGGTCCCTGCACCTTGTTCTTCTCCCTTCATCCTGACATTTCATTACTGTCTCTGTCTTGAGAATCACCAGGTATCATCACGATCAGTGTCCACATGACCCATGGGCTATTCTGCCAGAACTCCTTCCAGTCTTGTTTGTAATAGTGTTTTTCTCTCCTCTGGTTTCTTGTGTGCTGAGATGCCTAGGGCCTTTCCTGGTAGCTCACCAGCCCTGCCTCTATGGAGTTGGTAGTGTTCTTGTCCTAAAGTGTATAAGCACGGTGCTAGAAAAAGCATGCTTGGTACATCAATCAGATGGACATGGAAAGATGATCTCAGAAATGCTCAGTGCAATTGAGGGGCACCTGGTGGAGATCATGACATCTGGGCTGTTTTCCTATTAGATGAGGAAACTGTCTTATGGTTTTAGTGTACTTCCTGCAATGCACTGTGTACTAGCACTGTTCCACAACAGTGACCATTTTGAGATGTGATTATATTCTTAAATACTACCCAAATACAGTGGAGTTGTTTTGCCTGACATTGACTCAAGCAGTCTTTAATACAGCATGCACTTCTCACATACTGGCAAGTTTTTACTGAATAAGACTGTGTGGTGAATTTAGTAGGTTTCATAGATAATAGTACCATGAATGGCAGTGCCTGAGGCTGTTTGCCACTCCTGCCTGTCCTCTAGCTCATCTTCCTCTCATGTTTCTGGTAATGTTTACAAAATTCTACTGGATCTTAAGAGGCCTAGTTGTGTGAAGGAACCCCTTCTTCAGTTTGAGCCCTGCTTCCACATCCTGAAATGATTCTTACTGTGTGGGTGTGTACATTGAAGATACAGTGCATCCCTCCCACATGCAGTCTTGTGTTCATCCCCAGCACACCCAAAAAATTTAATAATGTTTTGGATATTTCCAATCTAATGGCTTGCCTCTGCTCCAACCTGTATGTTTCATCATCATTTCTCTGATTTTTAGGATGTCGACATAGAGTAAGTGATAAGGAGGCATCGATGCACAGTGTTTGTTTGGAAGAGGTGTCACACTTGATGACTCCAAAGGCAAGTCCATCCAACCTGAAGAATCACCCGTGTGACATCTGCGGCCTTTTCCTGAAAGGCATTTTGCACCTGACTGCTCCATTTGTGCAAAAACTGTACATGACTAGTTCACGTGCATGTCTTCCCCACAAGCAGTACACTATAGAGACCCCCTTGAAGAGGGACATGGATGGGACTTCATTTGAGAAGAACTGTGAATTACTTGTGTCAGGGAAATGGTTGAATTGTGATGACCTTTGGAAGGATTTCCCAGTTTTTTTTGACCTTCTGCTGCCCCACGTCATTCCTAATGGTGAGAGACAAAGCAGTGTTGGGTTTGAGGACACATTTCAACATGGCAAAAGTTATTACAAGTTGGTAAACTGCAGCAAAGCTTCCAGCCATAAAAATACCATGTTTTATAACCTGAGAGTCCACAATAGAAAAAATTTTTATGAGTACAGGAATTGGGACAAAAATTTCCATGATGAGTGCTCACTTGATCAACACCGGAGAGTCCAGAGTGGAGAAAGGCCTTATGAGTGTAGAGAATGTGGGAAATCTTTTAAACATAGAAAGTCCATTATTTTACACAAGAGAGTCCACACTGGAGAAAGGCCTTATGAGTGTAGAGAATGTGGAAAATCCTTTATACATAGAAATTCCTTTATTGTTCATCTGAGAGACCACACTGGAGAAAGGCCATATGAGTGTAGAGAATGTGGGAAATGCTTTAAGCAAAAAAATGGCCTTACTGTTCATCAAGGAGTCCATACTGAAGAAAGGCCTTATGAGTGTAGAGAATGTGGGAAATGCTTTAAACGAAAAGGTGCCCTTGCTGTACACCAGGGAGTCCACACAGGAGAAAGACCTTATGAGTGTAGAGAATGTGGGAAATCCTTTAAGCGAAAATATGCCCTTACTCTACACCAGGGACTCCACATGGAACAAAGGCCTTATGAGTATACAGAACGTGGAATATTCTGTATACAAAGTGATACACTTAAAGAACATAAGAAATTTCACACTGACAAAAGGCCTTATGAGTGTACAGAATGTGGAAAGTCCTATAACAGAAGAAGTTGCCTTATGATACACCACCGAATTCACACTGGAGAAAGGCCATATGTGTGTAGAGAATGTGGGAAATCCTTTAGATCTGCTCATTGTGTTACTGATCACCAGAAAATCCACACTGAAGAAAGACCCTATGAGTGTGAAGAATGTGGGAAATCCTTTAAGAGAAAAAATGACCTTATTGTACACCAGCGAGGCCACACTGGAGAAAAGCCTTATGAGTGTAGAGAATGTGGGAAATCATTTAAACATAGAAAGTCCCTTATTATACACCAGAGGGGCCACACTGGAGAAAGGCCATATGAGTGTAGAGAATGTGGGCAATCCTTTAAGCTAAGATATGCCCTTACTGTACACCAGAGAGGCCACACTGCAGAAAGGCCTTAGGAGTTTGTACATTTGGTGAGCATTACAAGAGTTGTTCTTCATGTTCTGGACTCTTCAAGGCCTTGGCCAGAAGGAAATCATTTCTGCACTATTTTAGAGATGCCATTTACTTCTACCACCATGAACTTCAGGGGAAAAAACAAAACATAACAAAAAACTACCATGACATGCTTAGGTAAGGAAGATATGTGTGTTTCTTCTGTTGCAAATCCTTTGAGCAACTTTATTTGGTTTGATGTGTCATCTTGCTATGTTACAATATCTGTATGACCAAATGTACTCAGTTCTGATTAACTAGAGGCTTACAAGGAGGGCTTAGCTTCTTGGACAATTTTGGTGTCTTATAATACTTGTAGTTGGTATTTTTACCATCAAGTCTCTAATTGGTAACTGCCTGAGATTGCTAGGGTGCAGTAATAAAGGCACTATTTTTTGCATCTACCTTTAATTTTGGCTGTTCTGTTAACTGAATTAGGTCATATTACATAGAAATCATCTCTATGTATGTGAGGTGATGAACAGTTGTTTGGAACCCTCAAATATTTTTACCTCAGTAGGCAGTGTGTAATGGCTGATGGTAGTTTCTGATAAAGGTTTTGGATAATGTGGATGATGGTCAAAGACCACCCCTAAAAGAAAAGGACCTTTTCTCTCCTAATTTGTGACCTGGAAGCTTTCATACTTTATGAGGTTATAGGTCATCTGAGAAGTGGTCACTTTTTAGGCCAGGGTTTATTGTGTCTGAGTAGTATGAATTTAGGCATTATGTTTTACATCAGATGTCACATAATCCCAAGCAATCTGAAAAACATCATTTCTCAAGATTATAGAAAGATCTTTATAGTCTATGGTTCATAACTCCACCAACTAATAATAGTACAACTCTGCAGACCAAGCCATGTGCACATGGGCCTTAGGAGGACATTATGGAAGTAACTTAATATTACCAAGCATGAGAATGCAAATGGTGTACTTAACGTGGGATTGATGAACACTGCAAATACTTTTTATAGAGCTAGCATGAAATGCTCTCTGGCAGTGTGGTACAGGAATTGAACCTGGATTTGAGAGCATGTTAATATCCTTACAGTTCACACTTATTACTTTGGAACATGTGACATTTCACCTGTTAGGACCCAGTTTCCTTAGCTATGTGATATAAATAATAAAATAATGACTTCATTGTGTTATTGTATGGGCAGAGGTGGAATAGTATCTGCAGAGATGGACAAACTTTCTAAATAGGTTCTAAGCTGACATCTAATGCAAAGTAAATGAGTATTAAGATGTTTCACCATGAACCTTGTCAGGTACAAACTGAAAATATGTTGTGAACTCCTTTATGAAGAGCATGTAAAGCTACCCCTACTTGATTTCTTCATATCTGACAGTGTAGACTTCATGCCCAAATTGTACAAGGGGGCACTGTGGGTCACATATATTACTAAAGGGAAAATTTCATAAAGAATATGTAACAATTGTAAGTAAATCTGTACCAAAAGTTGATGCATCCAACTTCCTAAAATAAATGCTACTGGGCATAAAGGAACAGATAATAGCAGGTAGAATAATAATGTCTGACTTCAGTATCATGCTTTTCATTACATTGATCATAAAAAGAAACAAATCAAATTGGAAATTTCAGATTTAGAGTTCTCCATTGATCAAAAGAATTTAACAGACACCCACAAGATAGTCAATTAGGCAGCTGCAGATTACCCATTCTTCCCAGCAGCCTCCTCCAAAGCAGATCATATGTTAGACCCTAAAGCAATATTTAACAAAAACAAAATTAAAATAAATTCTGATTCTTATCAGCCTATAATGGAATGAACTTAAAAACCAATAACAAGAGAACCTATGCAAATATATTGAATTCTTCCTTTGAGGAGACTGAGAATCTTCTGGCCCCCAGACTGGTAGTTTGAATGGAATAATAGACAGAAGCACTTACTTTTGGAAACCCACGTGTGATCCAGATGGCACCTCTAAGAGGACAGTGAGGAAGGGAAAAGTCAGAGCCGTGAAGGATCAGGGAGGTTAGCAGTATTAGATTCCCTTGGAAAGAGTGTGGCATCTTGGAGCAGATGGCAGGGAACTGTGAGACTGTATACATACAGAGACTGAGCATTGATTCCCTAAAGCTGTCTCCATCTTCTGTGCCAAGGCCAAGTGCCTATCTCAGGAGTTAAACGCAGGCTTCCTGCAGGGTGGTCTGTCCTGCCTTGGGCTTCAGAGATGAGGAGGACCCAGCTCGCTGAGAGTCAGTCCCTTCTGCAGACCCAGGCCTGCTTGAGACCTCCAGGAGCTGCAGCTCTGGGCACCAACCCTCTGGCCTCCCGCAGAGGCATCCCTGGCAGACCTCTGTGTACACAGTGGGATGCAAGGTGTAAAACCTTGCAGTCTTAAAGAAATCACATAAGCAGGGATTTAGAAATGAAGAGGTGTCAGCTAACACGTGACGCCATGGGTGAAAGGTAAGGGTGCCATTTTCCTGTGTCCCACCACAGGTAGGTTCAAGGTGATGCTGGTCTAAAGTACATCTAGTATCTGCCATTGAACTGTTTGAACTACCTTTCCCAGAATGCATGGTCTTCAACTGAAAGAGGCTGAACCGATGAGCTATCAGAACAGCCATTTCTGGGTTAGCATCATCTGACTGGGGTGGGACTTCCGGCCTCATTCTTGCAGTGCTCATTGTGTCTTGAACTGGACTCTGTGCTGCTATGGTTACTGGAAAACCATGCAATCAGGATCAAGGACATGCAGTGTGAGGGCAAAGCTGTGGCAGGGTTGGGTTGTCCCCAGCACTCAGTGGCTTCTTGGAGGAACATCTGTTGTGATGACCTTGCCCAGGTGCTAATCAACAAGCAGCAACTTGGATCAGGTAAGTGCCTCGTTTTTCTGCGAAACCTCCCTCAGCCCATCTGAGTGGTAGAACCTGATTTGCAGCTTCTGATTGAGCCACAATATTCTTTGTGTCCAGGTGTCTGGGGGACATAAGTACATCTTTCTGCACTCAGTGCTTGACTACTGACCTAAGCACCCTCTCCCCCCCACCCACCCAGGTATTGGGACATTGAACTGTGGGCTTCATGCTGCAAGGCAGGCTTTCTTGAGATAGGTCTCCAGCCCATGGAGTCCTGATTTCTTAAGCTGCTAATGAAGTTGGGGGAGGTTCCTCCACCCCTAATGCCACTCCCAACTGATGGTTGCACTGATCACTGTGTTGTTCTGCACTGGAACATGGACAGACAGATATCATCTAAACTCAGAGCCCTGCATCCAAACTCAGTGTTATCTCATACTCATGAGAAGGAGATAACTGGGTGTTAAGCTCCTACCCCTGGGTGTAGGTGATGGGCACCATAAGCAAGATGGGCATGCAGGGCTGTGGAAGCATGGGGACAGGACAATCTGGTAGGGTTGTGGTTATGGTGCCATTGGTGATGCAAATGTGTTGATGCTGATGTCTGGGTGTAACTGAGCAGTGTGATGCTGAGCCAAGACCTTTGGTTTTTCGCTGTACCTCAGTCTCACCAATTTTGTGGTGAACATTGGTATAACTTGGGCCTTTTAGTAAGGCAGTTAGGCATGTTTATGTCAAGTTGTCATTAGAAATGGTGAATTGGACTAACAGAGGAGGGCCACTCAAGCTAGTCTCAGCCTGAGAATTACTGGAGAAAGTCTGTTACTAGGGAGGGGACATGGGTAGCACTATAGATGAATTAGGGCCAAGGATGTTTGAGATCCATATGTGGTTCTTGAAGGCTAAGGTTGAAGCAAAGACAGAGTCAGACTATGGCAGGAAGTCAGGGAAGGAGAAGAGAGATTAATGAGTGCTACAGTAAAACAAAGAAAAACCAGAGCTGGGGAATGTTTCCTGAAGACCAGAGAAAGGTAACCTCACCTCAGAGGTTAAAGCAGCCAATGAAATAACATGTGATTATGTTTGGGACAAGATTTTACCCCCATCCCATTTCTGTAACCTGTTCTAAATGGTATATAAGGAAAACCCCCTTTGTTCTCAGCGCTCAGCCTTTGGACTCAAGTGTGCTGAATTGCTGCTGGCTTGCTTGATAAACTTGCTTCCCTTTGCAACTTTGGTGCCCTCTCTGTCTGAGCCCTCCTGCAACATTTCTGGGGATCATCCATGATTTGGAGGGTTATGTTTTCACATCCTTCTCACTGGCTCAGTATCCCAGGCCCGCTGGAATGGCCACCCCTGCCAGGCACCACCAAACCCTGTTGATCCAAGGGAGGGAGCCTCTCTCCTGGCAAGCTGAGGAGGTGAGTTCTGGTTGCACAAAGGAACTTGGAAAGGCTTGGGAAGCAATGTGGGAGCCCTGTTCATCAGGTTGGTAAGAACCCAGATTCAAATTCAGGCCTGCCTCAGGAGGCAGAAGGGGAGTCTGATCAACTCCCGAAGACACCCTAGTAACTGCCTTTGTGGGGTAAAACCGTGTCTTTGAGGTTCAGGAAGCGGGGTGGAAGTACTGTGCTGTGTGAGGGTGTGTGAAAGTGCTAGCTTGAGTTGTAGCCTGTTTACAAAGCGACTGGAGTCCCTGATCCATGGGTCCATGGCAAATTCATATGGTCTAGGGTGAGCCCTCACAGGGCCTCCATCAGGGCCTTATATGGACTCACTACAGCCAAGAGATGCCTAAATCCCCACAAAGGGAGTGGCCTGAGATGGATGAAGCAAGTAGTGTTATTTGTTTTCCCCTGTGTGTCAGAGAGGAGGACCCCTTACCTCCTCTCCACAGTCCTCATTCCTTCTGTTTTTGTCTTTGTCTTGAAGTTTGGCAAATGGGAGGAATGGGAGGAGGTCAGAGTTAGAACACCCTCCTAGAACTTTAAGAGGGGATTTAATGGAGATTACAGGGTTAAGCTGATGTTCTGCAAAATAGACTGGCCTGCTTTTGGTGTAGGATGGCCCTTATAGGGGTCATTAGATAAGATCATAGTAGTAGAATTTTTAAAGAGGTTGTTGGGGAATT